CTGAGGGAGACAAGGTTTGGGGACCTTGTTTCTCCTGTTCCACTCAGCACTTTTGCTGGGGAGCAAGATCAGGGTGCAGGGGCTTCTCTAGGCCTGCTGATGCTTCTGCCAGGGTTTCAGGCTTCTGTTGCCCCATAAAAGGATTCTGCTGGAGTGGGACATCAATTTTTCTAGGGTCACCCAATTGGCCAGGGCACTCCTTCTGCCCATTGGATCATCCACTGCTGATGGTAAAGGAGTAAGGAGCATGGGTGACTGAAGGGACTGGGGTTTAGGAAAGGTCAGAGCCAAGAGCAAATCAAGAGTAAATGGGAGAAGGCAGAGTCTATGGCATTGTCAGGCCAGAGTGCTGTGAACATTTCTGATTTCACTCCTCAGAGCTTGTCCTTCTTGCGGATAGCCCACATGATTAGGGCAATGTGAGCAACTTGGGGCTCAGTGTCCATAGAGATGTCTTCAGAGTTTCCTTTAGTAATAGAGATAACAAGGACCCAGATGGGCTTTTCCTCCCTCCCCAATTGCTTCTGCTCTGCACCAGGTTCCTGCCAGGGACAGGCCTTTTCTCCTGGGTCTGATTGTCTTTAGAATCCACTCCTTCTCCCTCAGTCCATTGGCCACCTGGTGGCCTAGAGGGGTCCCTCAGAGGTGATTCTCTTGCCAGTCCAGTCTAGGGTACCTAACGGGGAATGTCACACTCCCCTGCTCTGCTAGACCTGGGCTATGTCTGGATAATGTTTATGATAAGAAGTATTTTCCTGTATTATAGAGCTAATGTCCAGCCAGACTCTGTCCACAGGAAATCACATTGGTGTAAATTGGTAAATTTTACCCTAAACAAAGATCAAATTGTTCTGGATAGATATCAATAGTTAGGCTAGGGTGTACAGTTACTATATGTGAAAGTTGCGTGATACCAATTTTTTCTCATAGATCACACACTTACACTAATTGCAATATGGAACAAGTTCAAGGGAAGTAGCCAGTGCCATAAACCAGTGTTAACTAAAATCCCTGACAATGCAGCAGGAAAATAAACAGGGTTAGTGTTTCTATCTATGTTAGTTGTCTGAGATGGAACTGCACACAGAGTCAAAGGTAGTGGGTGTACTGTGAATCAACATAGTGGCATTACGATACTATCTTATTTGTGGATTATTCATCGCCTTTGACTTGGCAGCTATCTTTGTCAAATGTTGGCACCCTGTAAGGCTCTGATCCAGTACCATTCTTTCTGAGATACTTTGGAAAATTCTCAGGCCTTAGTCTGGTATCACTGAAGGTGACATACAGGCACTCCTCTGCATAGTTATTGGTTGCTCATGCACAACACAGACAAATGTTATTTGACAGTGTGGTTGGAGTTACCATAACTAATAGTATCAGAGGGGTAGCCTCTGGAAATTTCCACTACATGCATCTGACAAAGTGGGTCTTTGCCCACAAAAGCTTATGCTCCTACACTTCAGTTAGTCTGTAAGGTGCCACAGGACTCCTCGTTGCCATAACTAATAGCTTTCTAGAACTTTTTGAGAAGATGCATTTCATGAGTCCTCGTGCATTTTTACTCTTGCTTCCCCCTGGAGTTTTTGTATTTTTTAATCTGGTGGCAATTGTGGAAAAAAGAAAAGTATTTTTTGCAAAAGCAGAGACATTGTTTTGAGAAATTGATTTAAAAATGTTAAAAGTGAAACATTTTAATACGTGGAATTAGATTTTGTATTAAGAACTAAAAGGTTGGAAAGCGAGAATTTGGGATCTAATTTCTCCCCTGCCGGCTAGGAAGGAAAATCTGAGACTTGAACTTTGAGCTGCTGGCTTTTCGTTCCGAGAGGCTGGGGCTCGCGAAAGGCATCGGGTGGGTCACCACGTTCCCAGTAAAGAACTACATTTCCCACAATACACCGGTTTCACGGGTACGTAGTTAGGGTCCTTCAGTGGAGGTACTTTAGCCGTTTGAGGAATGCCTGTGTGGAAGCAAGACTAGTTTCCTTGACCTAACCCCTTCGCGGACAGAAATGCCGACTCCTTCCCCCTACGGTGACGTCTCCATTCTCACCACTTCCCGCTTTATGACCGCATTGAGGGGTTGGCTCCCGCAAGTTGAGGGCTATTGTCAGGCGCTTGCGATAATCACCTGACGGGGTCCTAACGGAAGGGGCGCTCAGGCGGGGCGGCTCAGACTGGAGGCGCTGGTGGCGGCGGTTGGCGGGGCCCAGGAGTGTGTGTGCGCGCGTGAGAGAGAGGGGCGGGGCGTCACCTCCC